CTGTCGGCTCGCCTGGATCCGGGCCCGTGCGGCCATCACCCGGGCCAACACGGAGTATGCCCGTCAGCATCGCCGCCGCCACCAGCCTGGCCCCGTCTTCCAGTCTGGCGACCAGGTGTGGCTCTCCTCCGCTAACCTGAGGATGCCGGCTGGCTCCCGGAAGCTCACTCCTCGCTTCCTGGGTCCGTTCCCTGTCCTCAAGGTCATCAATCCTGTCACCTGCCGTCTGCGCCTCCCGGCTACTCTCCGGATCCACCCGGTCTTTCACGTCTCCCAGCTTAAGCCGGTGATCTCCTCTCCTCTCCACCCTCCACCGGTCCAGGTGCCTCCGCCCCGCGGTGTTGAGGCGGATCGCACCTACGGTCCGCAGGATTCTGGACGCTCGCCGCCGGGGACGAGGTTGGCAGTACCTCATGGATTGGGAGGGGTACGGACCTGAGGAACGCTCTTGGGAGCCCACGAGCTCGTTTGTCGACCCTACCCTGCTAACTGACTTCTGGGCCCGCCGTCCTGGGACTTCGGGAGCCGTCCCTAGTGGGGGGGGGGGGGGTCCTGTCACGAACTCCTCCAGCTGACTGCATTCCATTCATTCCTGCCACCAACGTGGCGACTGACGTCATCACGCCGACACTACTTAAGGAAGTGCCGGCGTTTCATTCATTGCTCAGTCATCGTTTCTCACCAGACTTTGTATCGAGTCTCCAGGCTTACCAGCCCTCTAAACACTCAAACTACACCTTCAGGAGATAACCACGCCGGTTATCTCCGTCTCTCCGCGTCTGGGCAACAGAACTCTCAGTCACGCTTCAGATCTGCCAACGAACCTGACACTATCTATCTATCTATCTATCTATCTATCTATCTATCTATCTATCTATCTATCTATCATCTATCTATCTATCATCTATCTATCTATCTATCTATCTATCTATCTATCTATCTATCTATCTATCTATCATCTATCTATCTATCTATCATCTATCTATCTATCTATCTATCTATCTATCTATCTATCTATCTATCTATCTATCTATCTATCTATCTATCTATCTATCTATCTATCTATCATCTATCTATCTATCTATCTATCTATCTATCTATCTATCTATCTATCTATCATCTATCTATCTATCATCTATCTATCTATCATCTATCTATCTATCTATCTATCATCTATCTATCTATCTATCATCTATCTATCTATCTATCTATCTATCTATCTATCTATCTATCTATCTATCTATCATCTATCTATCTATCATCTATCTATCTATCATCTATCTATCTATCTATCTATCATCTATCTATCTATCTATCTATCTATCTATCTATCTATCTATCTATCTATCTATCTATCATCTATCTATCTATCTATCTATCTATCTATCTATCTATCTATCTATCTATCTATCTATCTATCTATCTATCATCTATCTATCTATCTATCTATCATCTATCTATCTATCTATCTATCTATCTATCTATCTATCTATCTATCTATCTATCTATCTATCTATCTATCTATCTATCTATCTATCTATCATCTATCTATCTATCTATCTATCTATCTATCTATCTATCATCTATCTATCTATCATCTATCTATCTATCATCTATCTATCTATCTATCTATCATCTATCTATCTATCTATCTATCTATCTATCTATCTATCTATCTATCTATCTATCTATCTATCTATCTATCTATCTATCTATCTATCTATCTATCTATCTATCATCATCTATCTATCATCTATCTATCTATCTATCTATCTATCTATCTATCTATCTATCTATCTATCTATCTATCTATCTATCTATCTATCTATCTATCTATCATCATCTATCTATCATCTATCTATCTATCTATCATCTATCTATCTATCTATCTATCTATCTATCTATCTATCTATCTATCTATCTATCTATCTATCTATCTATCTATCTATCTATCTATCTATCTATCTATCTATCTATCTATCTATCTATCTATCTATCTATCTATCTATCTATCTATCTATCTATCTATCTATCTATCTATCTATCTATCTATCTATCTATCAATCTATCATCTATCTATCTATCTATCTATCTATCTATCTATCTATCTATCTATCTATCTATCTATCTATCTATCTATCATCTATCTATCTATCTATCTATCTATCTATCTATCTATCTATCTATCTATCTATCTATCTATCTATCTATCTATCTATCTATCTATCTATCTATCTATCTATCTATCTATCTATCTAACTATCTATCTATCTATCTATCTATCTATCTATTTGCTCGTTCTTTGAGCGGGCCTGTTCATTACAGTTTTTCTCAGTCGCTTTGGTGCGTTTCTCTAATCAGAATTAAAATTCTCATAACTATTAGTTCAACCTCCACAACATTTAGTCATTTGTGCACATCATAGTAGCAATTTCTCCTTTCTCTGAACAAACTGCAAATGATTTTGGACATGTATCAGTTGCTTTCATACATTTCTCTGCTGTTTTTTGACATTTCCATTTGCTTATGTCATGTCAGTCAAAATTAGTTATACTTATTGATGCTGAATAGTCGTTCTCAATAAAACTAATAGTCTTACTTTCATTACTTGAGTCATTACACACAAAATTGTTGAACTAGTTATCAAATGTCAAATATCAGTCATCTGTCAAGCAAATTCTATACCTTTATCATTTTTTCCTGGAAATGTCTCCTAAACTGAACAATTGATCACAGGTGAATTTCGGCTGTCACTCATGGGGAGGTGAATCCTCAATTGGCAAGCATATATGAACTGAGCAGGAGCTAGTGTGTACCATTTCTACACTTCTGTGACACAAAATGGAAGGTCAGCATCGTGGAAGAGGGGGAGGAAGGGGAAGAGGGAGATATAGGCACATTCCTAAATAAATCAGGGCTACAATTGTGGACCATGTTGTTACAGTACTGTGCAATACTGTATGTACTGTTACATGTACTCTATATTGTTCACATTTGTGCACAGCTCTACCAAAAGGGTGATTTTTTGTTTACATGTATTCTACAGTAAACAAGTGACTGTAGCATATTTTCTTTTGCACAATGCTGTAGAATTACAAACACTTCTATACAGTAAAAATGTAAAACGTACGTATTCAGTGTCTCAGTTACTCCCAAAACTCCCATAACATCTACAGTAGCTTTACTGCACATTTCAAATGCCTGTACCAGTAGGGCATAGTGCTGTCTTGAGCATTTTCAGGTGTCACCAAATATTCTTGCAATGGAAAACACTGAAATTATAACCTGTCATGGTGAAAACATGACAAAGCCGTTTGACTATCTTGTTCATAAAAATGGTGTCAAGACTTTTCATTTTGATGGCACTGACAGTTTCATTGACATGAATACTTGCTTTTGAGGAATGGATGATCATTTTTGAGCATGTGACGTGCTTTTGCAGGCTATCCACTAGGTTTTGCAGTTTGCACTAATTGTTTTGAGAAATGCACTAACTGCTGTGCCAATGTTAATAGTGTTCTGAGAAACGCACCAAAGCCACTGAGAAAAACTGTAGGTGTGTGGGGAGTTGTGCATTCTGCTGACTCTGGTTGCTTCACAAACACATGCCTGCTGATTGTGTATCTACAGCTTCATAGTGGGGAGACTTGTGTACATAAAAAACTACACACTCACTGGGGAAACCTTGATAGTACAAAGTTGGACCCCTTTTACTTTCAGATCTTTTCTAATTCTTCATGTCTTTGATCCAGCAAGAAGTTAGCAACATTCCTCAGAGGTTCTGGTCCATATGAGCATGACAGTTAGATCCACCTCCTAAAGGTTCTGGACTGGACTGAAGTCAGGTGACTGTGGAGGTCGTTAGAGTCCAGTGAACTCACGGTCATGTTCTAGAAACCAGTTAGAAAAGATCTGAGCTTTGTGACATGGTGCATGATCCTGCTGGAAGTAGCCAGTAGAAGATGTGTCCATGCGGTCATAAAGGGATGGACATGGTCAGCAACAATACTCAGGTAGGCTGCGGTGTTTTAACCAGGCTCAGGTGGGACTACGGGGTCCACAGTGGGACATACCATTACACCCCCACCACCATGCTGAAGCATTGGTACAAGGCAGGATGGATCTATGCGTTCGTGTTGGTGACACCAGACTCTGACCCGACAGCTGAAATCCAGGTTCATCATATCAGGAAATGTTTTCCCAGTTTCGTCTGGTCCATTTCTGGTGATCCTGTAGGAACCCCAGTTTCCTGTCCTTAGATGACAGCAGAGACATCTGGTGTGACCTTCTGCTGCTGAAGTCCATCTAGAGAAGCTGTTGTGTTTTTGCTGACTTTGATAGGAACCAGTGGTTATCTGAGCTGCTCTTGTCCTTCTATCATGAAGTAGTCTGACCATTCTCTGTAAACCTTAGAGATGGTTGTGGGTTCAAATCCCAGAAGGTTATGTTGGTTTTTCAACACTCAGACCAGCCTGTCTGGTACCAACTATGTCATCCTCAAAGTCACTCCGTTCTTCGGCCTGATGCTCAGGCTAATCTTCAGCAGATCATCTTCACCACACCTAGAAGCCTAAATGCTGACTAGGCGTTTATGTATGTTTATTAGGCTACAAACAGTACATCGTCATCGCTTACAAAGAGATGAACTTTCCCTTCATGGTTTAATAAATGTTACTACCTGAACTTATAATCAGATCCTCTCACAGTGCATCAACAGATGGTTTTGGTGATGGTGAATAACAGACCACTAAAGCGTTGAAAAGACATCTGCCTTCAGGCTGATGTTTATCTGCAGTTCCTGTCTGATGGAATAACATAGACGCATGTGCTGAGGTGTGGACATCTGCTCTCATGTTTGAATACTGCACTGCATCAAATTGGACCTTCATTTGAAATAAGATTACTGCTATCTCAGAAGAACCCTTTCATCAGGACAAGATATGTCTCCATTTACAGGGAGAGAAGACAGATCCCTGATCTGTTTCTGTTTGTGTTCTCAGGTCTAGACGACTGTCTCCAGCAGTACGTGAAGAGCTTTGAGCGGGAGCAGATCGGAGGAGAGCAGCTGCTGCACATCACTCATCAGGAGCTGGAGGAGCTTGGTGTCACCAGGATAGGACACCAGGAGCTCATCCTGGAAGCTGTTGACCTGCTCTGTGCCCTGGTCAGTCTACATCGCATAGCTCTGCTGTGACTGTGCCTGGTTAGATACAGTGTGTTTGAGATACAGTGGAATGCAAAAGTTTTGTTAACCTTCCTGATTTTCCTGTGTAAATCATTGGGTGTTATGATAAAGAATTTCAGTGACATTTGAGAAGTGAATCAAAGTTTATAGGATTTACAGAACGTGTAAATAGGTGATTAAACAAAATTAGGCAGGTGCATACATTTGGGCACTGTTGTCATTTTCTTGATTCCAAAACTTTTAGAACTAATTATTGGAACTTAAAATTGGTTTGGATTAGCTCAGTGACCCTTGACCTCCATACACAGATGAATCCATTTATAAGAAACAGTGTTTAAAGGAGCCAATTGTAAGTTTCCCTCCTCTATGAATATTCACTGAAGAGCAGCAACATGGGGGGTTCAAAACCACTCTCACATGACCCGAAATCAAAGATTGTTCACCATCATGGTTTAAGGGAAGGATACAGAAAGCTGTGTCAGAGATATCAGCTGTCTGTTTCCACAGTTAGGAACGTACTGAGAAAATGGAAGACCACAGGCTCAGTTCAAGTTAAGGCTCAAAGTGGCAGACCAAGAAAAATCTCAGATAAACAGAAGTGAAGAATGGTGAGAACAGTCAGAGTCAACCCACAGGCCAGCACCAAAGACCTACAACATCATCTTGCTGCAGATGGAGTCACTGTGCATCGTTCAACTATTCAGCGCACTTTACACAAGGAGATGCTGTACGCGAGAGAGTTGCAGAGGAAGCCTTTTCTCCACCCACTGCACAAACAGAGCTGCTTGTGTTATGCTAAAGCTCATTTGGACAAGCCAATTCACACTTGGCTGCGAACCGCTCCGGCGAAAGCTGGAGATCACATTCTGATGATGCCAACAGGACCACATCATGTGCAAAAAGCAGAGACCTGATCTTTAGGCTACCAACTCGGATCCTCTCAACACCTTGGCTGTGCCAAAATTGGTGACAATAGGCATCCTAGGCAAAGTCCAACTTTCACTGGAAACAATTCCGATTCACTGTCAGCAATGTGGACCAAGCTCTGACACTGGTCATACAGGGCCCAAACAGCCCGTATCAAAGGGCCTGGTACCCCATACTCCCGAAGGCCTGGCTCCAGGGGGGGAACACACAGATTCCATTCATGTTTTTTCTCATAAGTGGTCTGTGGGCTGCGCTTTGTCTGATCCCTCACCTAGGACCTGTTTACCATGGGTGACCCTACTAGAGGCATAACGCCTAAGACTACTTAACTCCTAGGATTATTAGGACACTCAAACCCCTCCACCATGATAAGGTGGCAGCCCAGGGAGCCTCTGATGGTATATGTACCTGAAACTTTTTATTGTAACGACCAACAATTTATACAGGACAATCATGAAACTGCGTTAGTGAGAGTTACAAATGATATTCTCATGGCCTCAGATAAGGATCTTGTGTCTGTTCTAGTCTTGTTAGATCTCAGTGCTGCCTTTGACACAGTTGATCACAATGTTCTTTTAGAAAGACTTGAACATGTTGTAGGGATCAAAGGAACAGCGTTAGGCTGGTTTAAATCCTACCTGTCGGACAGATTTCATTTTGTAAATGTACAAGACAAATCTTCTTCATACTCCAGGGTTACTTGTGGAGTACCACAGGGTTCAGTGCTTGGACCAATTCTTTTTACTATATATATGCTCCCAATTGGTAAAATCATTAGACAGCATGGGATAAACTTCCACTGTTATGCTGACGACACTCAGCTATATTTATCCATTAACCCTGATGAACCTAATCGGTTGGGTACATTACAGGCTTGTCTTGAGGACATAAAAAATTGGATGACTCTAAACTTTTTGCTTTTAAATCAAGACAAGATGGAAGTTCTCATCTTTGGACTAGAAATCCGGAAAAGGAAATTGCTTAGTCAATCACCTGACCTGAATGGCATTACATTAATCTCAGAAAAATAAGTAAGGAACCTTGGTGTTATCTTTGACCAGGAAATGTCATTCAAATCCCAGGTTTCACAAGTTTGTAGGATTTTCTTTTTCCACCTTCGGAATATTGTTAAGATTAGAAGCATCCTTTCCAGGAGTGATGCTGAAAAACTAGTTCATGCATTCATTACATCAAGACTGGATTACTGTAATTCATTACTCTCAGGAAGTCCACAGAATGTAGTTAAAAGTCTTCAGCTTGTCCAAAATGCTGCAGCTAGAGTTCTGATGAGAATTAAAAAGAGAGATCATATATCTCCTGTCTTAGCTTCCCTACATTGGCTACCTGTTAAATTCAGAATAGATTTTAAGATCCTTCTTCTCACATATAAAGCTCTTAATAATCAAGCTCCATCATACATTAGGAATCTGAATGTTCCATATGTTCCTAACCGAGCACTTCGCTCTCAGACTGAAGGTTTACTGGTGGTTCCCAGAATATCTAAAATTAGGATGGGAGGCAGATCTTTTAGTTATCAGGCTCCTCTCCTGTGGAACCAGCTCCCAGCTTTAGTCCGTGAGGCAGACACTTTGTCTACTTTTAAGAATAGGCTTAAAACATTTTTATTTGATAGGGCCTATGGTTAAAATCTGATGTTAGCCTAAATCTGGACAAGTGGGGGAGTAGAGGGAGGTGGAGTGTACAGTTGGTAAAGGCGGCTCTCCCTTGCCCTGACTTCAACATGCCTACATCTAAATAGGATAGGTTATCCAGAGTTAACTCTGTAGTTATGCTGCTATAGGCTTAGACTGCTGGAGGATACACTGACCACTTTCCACACTCGACTACTTTCTTCTACAATCTGCTCTTTAACTGTATTATTTCCTGCTATTTCAGCTGTTAACTTTATTTTCTCTCTAAGTGTTTTTCTCCCCAGAAGAAGCAACAACGATGTTCTGCTGAGCTGTGGTGGCCTCACGGAGGAGGCCATCAGCTAGCACACTGCTGCTAACCACTTAAACATTCTCCCTCTCCTGATAATAACTTTTTGCTTTCGTTGACGTTGGATGTGCTACTTCTAGTTTATCCGTTTAATTATAGATCCACTAGGATAAATACAATAAAGTTTATCTTTCACCAAATAGAATATTTACTAAGACATCACAATATAACATTACTTTGTCTTGTGTGTGTGTGTGTGTGTGTGTGTGTGTGTGTGTGTGTGTGTGTGTGCTCTGTCTTCTCCATCCCCAGTGAGTCGTGGAGGATGGCTGCTTATACCGAGCCAGGATTCTCTGGAGGTTTCTTCCTGTTAAAAGGGAGTTTTCCTCTCCACTGTCGCTTTATGCTTGCTTAGTATGAGGATTGCTGTATAGTCACTGACACTAGTCAGTGACTTGATGCAATTTGCTGGGTTCCTTATACAGGAAACATTATTTCTGATTGGCTTAATGAACTGACCTGAATTGGAATGATTATTATGTGAAGTGCCTTGAGACGACTCTTGTCATGATCTGGCGCTTTATAAATAAAATTGAATTGAATGAAGATTTACAAGGCTGCCCAAACTTGTGCATTACTCTAACCTAAAAAGCCAATTAGAAAAATTTAAGGCTGTAAAATGTAGCACATTTCCCAAATTTATCAAACAATCTACAAATGTCTCAATTTGTAAATGGTGAGATGGTGTTTTCCATTTTTACTTGGAGATCAGAATTTCTAAGTTCCAGGTGAAAAGCTGCACAGCAACCAGAAAATCATGTGATTTTCTTACTTGCAACTAGAAAAGTGTTGGGAGATTTTAATGGGCAAGAATGCTTCTACTGACCAGAAACACCAGAGACTCGTTTCACATTTACCTTTAAAACATCTCAATGATCTTAAATGCTTCTGAACATTCTGCAGACTGATGAGATAAAAAGGCAACTTTCTGCAAGGTATGCATTCCATTCCAGCTCGAATAAAACTTTCGCTAACACCTCATACCACCAGCTTTTCTGCTTCATGACCTGGACAACTTTTTGTAATTGCTGGAATCATGACTTCTGCCCTCTAGCAGAAAATACTGAAGGAGAACGTCCGAACTATGACCTTACAGAGCGAGTTCATAGAGAAACATGTTCTTTTTGAAATACACTGTCACTTGGAGTTTACCATACAAGCTGAACATGAAAATCTTCTTCTACACCTATTTCTTTCATGAGCCACAATACAAATAAACAGAAAACGCTCAAGTCAGAAAAAGCCACTCTCATATTCATCACATTGTAAATTAGCATTCATGGACTCGCCCATTTTGGCTCATGACAGGGGAGGCTGTTGTTGATTTAGTGTCACAAGCGTGCCGTGAATGAAACGGAGGTGAGGATCCACACGCGGGTGAGGAAGGAGGCAGGCAGGCAGGAACATTTAAAACAAGGATTTAATAATGAACACGCAGGACAATGAAACAATGAGCCAACAAGAGACACAGAACTGAAGGGGTTTAAATAAATGAGGGCTGGGAGCTTGGGTGATTGGAAAACGAGAGGCAGGTGGGAGCAATTAACAAAGACACATGTCTGAACAGAATGGGGAGACAGGACAGGGTGTGACAGTACCCCCCTCAAAGGGCGGATCCCAGATGCCCATAGGAACACAGAGCAGGGCGGGAGGAGGGGAACCCAGAGGGAGGGCCGAGAGGGACCGAGGGACCGATGGACCGATGGAGAGGAGTCAGGGACCAGTAGAGTCCGGGGGCCTGCGTCTGTGGCAGAGGAGGAGGCGACAATGGGCTCTTGGGGGCATGCGTCTGTGGCAGAGGAGGAGGCGACGACTGGCTCTTGGGAGCCTGCGTCTGCGGCAGAGGAGAAGACGACGACGGGCTCTGGGAGGCTCGCGCCTGGCAAGGGCAAGACCGGCGGTGACCGGAGGCAGAGACACTGCAGGAAACATCCTTGACTTCTGGACTGGCGGCGTCGGCGTCAGCCTCTGGACTGGCAGCGTCGGCCTCTGTACTGGAGGCGTCGGCGTTGACCTCTGGGCTGGAGGCGGCGTCGTCGACCTCTGGGCTG